CTCGGTTAGATGAAGGAACAAACTTACTGGTTGGATCTAATTACAAGATTTTCTTAACTTTTAACTGAGTTTTATGACACTTGGGTCCTTTTTATACTTTAACGTTGTATAGACACCAATACTGGAATCCTGATGTGACCCTGTAGGACAGTACTGGGCTGCTAACTACAACATCTGAGGTTCAAACCAACAACAAACACCAATGGTTAACAATCTGTTGGGTTTGTATAAACTATGTTCCCCTATAAAAATAATACTCTTGAACAGTTATTTTTTTACTGACCTCCTACTTTACCAAGCATAATGTTCTTCTTCAAGGACTGGTTCCTCCTGATAATATGTCTGAAGTAGGAGAAACAAAGTCTTGCCATCTTGGCTTCTAAGGGGCATTCTGGCTGTACTTCTTGAAAGACAGATTTGTTTGTTCTTTTGGCAGTCTACTTTAATAGTCTCCTCCAACGCCATAGCTCAAACACATCAATTATTCTATGGTCTTCCTTATTCATTATCCAAATTTCACATGCATGTGAGGCTATAGAAAAATACCATGTCTTGGGTCAGGAGCACCTTAGTCCTCAAACTGACATCTTTGTTCTTGAATACTTTGAAGAAGAATAGGTCTTGTGCAGCAGATTTGCTTAATACGATATCTACATTCAGGAGGCAGCACTTTCTCAGTCATATTTTTAGTGTCTTTCAACTTAAGGGGCTTATCTTCTGGCACTATATCTGACGATAATCTAACGCTATTCATAATGTTTTCATTTTCAGGTACTATAGCTGCCAATGTTCTGCAGCTATTCATAAGGGTTTCAGCGGCTTAACATTCAGAATCACTCTGCCTCTCCTCCTTCCTAGTTTGTCTTAATTTGAAAGGTCAGCTGAAACCTGTCCACTATAGGTGACCCTGGTAGTATTAAACTACTGGTGACAAAATTACAGCAACATGCAAGCAACCACAGTATGACAAACTAACAGATGAGTAGCGTTAAGACTCAGGACTAGGATCCAGCAATCTAGTGGGGATGCTAGCTCATTTGACAGCGATGGTATTGACTCGGATGTTGATTTTTCTAATTGGGGAATTAGAATTACCTCTGAGATTAAGCAACAAAAATAATAAAAATAAAAGAGGACAACAACTTGATATCATTCATGTTTGAGTGACAGATGACGTTAGAGGAAGTAAAGACTCAGCGAGAGAAATTGGAAGTAAAATCAAGCCCACTACATGGAAAATCATATTCATTCCACAGGAAAAGACAGCTAAGTAAAGACTCAAGGAAAAGGGAGTCACGTATAGATAGAATCTAAGTACACTGCTTACTAGCCTCAGGTACAGCAAGAATTACAAGCAAAATGCAAAGCAAATAGGTTAACTACTCAAATTTCCCAAAGGCCATTACTTATTTCATCATTACATCACAGAGAAAATAAGAAGAGATACTGCTCTTAGTTGGCTGTACCATGGATGAAGTACAATGTGCACACAATGCACCCTTACTCAGGGCATGAGCAGAAGGTCCACATAGTTATCTCTGACACACAGATTATTCAGTAACTTTACTCCACACAGAAATAAATCTGTTATAAACAATATAATTGAAATCTGAGATTAAAGAACACTAGCTGATTCCCCACCCCTGTTCTTGTGGAAACGCTCCTTACAATGCAGTTTTCAACTATATGAAACAGAATGTTCTCTTAGATCTACAAACTTCCCTTTTACATTGTTATGATAAGCAAAATGCTTAACTACCCCAAACTTTTCAGAGACAGAGAGCATTGTGACACACATTTGGGTAAGAGGAAACAGCGTTATCTCATTAATTTAAGTTCCTGCTCCCTTCTACATATCATGGCTACATATGCTTCCTGTGGTAAAATTCTGAAAATTGTTGTAGCAAAGTATAAATAGGCTGAAACACATTTCAGAGTCTATCAAATCATTAATTAGCAAAAGATGATCATGAAACGACCACGTTATATTAGAATGTGCTTAACTGAGGACTGCGAGTGGTACTAAAAAGTAAAACTCTTCAGCAATATTTAAACTTGAGATTTTAAACACAAAAAAAAAAAAGAAAAGAGAAAGAAAAACGAAATTGGAAACCACCAACAGGAGTCTGAGGCTTTTCCCTCTGTTGGGTTCTGTACAGGTTCCTTCAAATCATTACAGAATAATGATATTGTTGGAGACTCTGCTCAGATTGATTAGATCAACGAATCTCTGAAGGTGGAAATTTGAAGACAGGTTCATTGGCTTAAATTATAATGTGGAGTGCAGAAAAGAAGTAGAAAAGTTCTTGAGTTTCTTCTTTCTTGCTTCTATTTTTTTTTGTTAAGAGAAAAACTAACATTAACTTAAACTGCACGCATGCACTGTACATACCGGGATTAGACTTGGTAGAAGTGGGAAAAAATAGAATTCTCTTTATTTTGTGATTAGCAAAATAGGAGAGATATTGTTTCTTATTTTGTTTGGAAATCTAGAATTGCTAAGATTCCTAATTAAACCACTGAGGAACTCTTTTCTGTCAAGATTTTAGGAACTAAATATTCTTACACAAGATTCTCTAGAGGACCATAGATTTCTGAGTGAATGCCCTAAATTGGGCCCCACTGTAAAATGAACACTGATGAACATTTCTGTCTTAGAGAACAACATACCTGTGTTGAGGACAGCATGAAGACTTGTGTAGATGGAATTTCTCTGTGAGCAATACTTGTAGCATCTGTGATGTTCTTGGAATTCTGTGTATGTTCAGCCTTTGTTGCTGTTATTGGGTGCTGTCAAGTCAATTTTGACTCAAGTGATCCCATGGGACAGAGTGGAATTGTCCTATACGGTTTCTTGGGCTACAGTCTTTATGGAAGTAGATTGACAGTTCTTTCTCTCACAGAGCCACTGAGTGAGTTCAAACCACTGGCCTTTCAGTTACCATCACCTTTCCAGTCACGAGGGAACTTCAAAAGTTCATGGAAAAATTCCATTATCTTTTTTTTAAAAAACCTTTTTATTGTGAATTGAGTGAAAGGTTTACAGAGCAGATCACCAGTTTTACATTCAATCAATCATAACCATTATCTTTTCATTCCATTTTCCCATGAACTCTTTGAAGCCCCCTTGTAGATATCGCCTTAGTTACTGTTGTTGTGAAGTGCTGTCAAGCTAGTTCTGACTCATAGTGACCCTGTATAGGGTTTCTGAGGCGCAGCTGCTGGATTTGAACCACCAACCTTGCCATTAGTTCAGTGCTTATCCTGCAGTGTCATACCAGGACTCCATGACTTTATTCTTTAGAAACTTCTAACGGTAAACACAACTTTAAAGATTTGGGAGAATGAGAATATCACTGCTGTTGTTACTAAGTGTCGTTGAGCAGGTTCCAACTCACAGCAACCCTGTTTGGGGTTCCCAAGGTTTTAAGTCTTTGCAGGAGCAGAAGTAGTCACCTTTCTCCCACAGAGCAGCTGGTGGGTTCGAACTACTGACCCTGTGGCTTACAGTCCAGTGCTTATCCTATGGAGCCACTGTGCTCCTGAGAATGCCATAGGAAAGATATTTGGCAAATTATAGCCAAATCAACAAATATATGACATATATTTGTATTACATGTGAAGTGCTACTGTAAATATCTAAGAAGAAATAATGATGAGTTTGAGAAGATCCCTACCTTTTCATTTCAAGTAACCAAAATAGTATGACAGTTGATTCAATATATTATTATAGAATTCATTGCCAGTAATGTTTAAGCCAAAGGTCATTAACCTGGCTGAGCAATCAGATTTATGGAGAAGTTAATTCCTAGATAAAGTGTGTGAGATTGGGGGTAGAAACCCAGAGACTGAATGGGGGTGGTGAGACATAGCACTCTATATTTTATAAAGCTCCCCTGTGGTCCTGATGAAAATAGTTTGACATAGTTAAGTGAATCAGTATTTTTGATCATTGCTTTGAACCTATCAGACACATACTTCTACCAGTAAATGTGGCAGGTAGGCCAAATGGACTTCGTACTATAGAAGACTTCCAGTGAAAGCTACACTGTTCCACCCCTACTAGAGTCCTGGTGTGGCACTGTAGGATAGATACTGGGCCACAAAGTTGAATTATAAGGTCGGTGGTTCAAATTCACCAATCACTTCTCGGAAACCCTATAGAGGGTTGCTATGAGTTGGAACCAACTCAATGGCACTTACCAATAACATCACTGATGTCCAGAAATATTAGCCTAGATCATTGGAGCAAGATAAATTGGTGCAGTTGAGAGACTTCAAGGAAGAGGAGCTCTTGCATTTGGTGTTAAAGGAAAGCTTTCACTTGTCAATCTTAGAAAAGTTTACCAAAGAGGAACAGCATGTAGTCAGGAAAGTAAAACTGGGTTTGAAGCACAATGAACTGAAAAATTGTTTAGAAGAGAAGAGTTCATACGGATACTGCTGGACTGTGGGGAGGATCAGATTCCTTACTTAGGCTCAATGGTGTTTTTATTATGGAAAAAAGAGACTATCAATTCTAGGATTTTCAAAACCTCAGTTCAATAAACTCTATGTTACTTTTGTTTATTTAAGCTACCCTCAAAAAAGTGCATGTCTTAACATTTTCATAATAATCAGTATATGTAGGATGCATTCTTGCCTGCAATTTTTTTGTTTATTCTTCATATTTCTTCTTTGAAGAGAGTAATAGGTTGTTTTGTTGTTGTTGTTGTTGTTAGGTGTCATTGAGTCGATTCCGACTCACAGTGACTTTACTCACAACAACAGAACAAAATACTGCCCAGCCATGCGCCATTCTCACAATCGTCGTTAAGTTTATAGAGAGAAACCAGGACTACAATGATCTGGTCTTGATGACATAAAATATTGGTGCACAAGATGACTTTATTCAGGATGCCAAAAAGGAAGAACGAATTTCTCAGATGATTATCAGTGTTACTGAAGATTTAATAGTTGAAGCATATGCAACTTGAACCAAATACCAACATTATGGTTACCTGAGTGAGTGATTCCTGGTAAGATCAGGTTGACGTTCCTGTAGGATTTCAAAGATATTGGGCTGACGCAGAAATGCAACAATCTTGTCATTATAAGCTGAAAGCATCAATCAGAAAAGAAAAGAATCAGAAGAGAAACATCTGTTATTAGTCTAATGCATATGACTATATTTTTATATAATTGTTTTTCCTCTTTAATATTTCTTATACTCAAAGAGGGAGTCCTGATGTGGCGCTGTAGGGTAAGTTCTTGACTGCGAGGTCAGTGTGAACAGCAAGGTCCATGCTCCAAACTTACTAGCTGCTCCTTGAAAATCCTACGCAGGATCACTTTGAGTCGGAACTGACTCAACAGCACTTCACAACAACAACATACTCAAAAATAGTTTGGACCAATATGTCTAGCTAGTTATGTGATTTTTGGACTTTGAGCTATCACATGTAACTCACTTAAACATTTTTATTAAATTCATTTGATGAACCATATTTATTACTAAATTGCAACATGAGATTAACAGTGAGACTCTAGAAATTGATCATTTTAAAGCATCTCCTTATCAAAATCAACCTCACAAGCAATTGCCAGAAATGAAAAATTATCTTTTGATTTAATGCCAGTTAATATCTCTTGCTACAGAGGTACAGTGGCAGAGCCAGAGTCACCAAAATAAAATAGTTGCCACCAACAACTACCCACCAAAATAGAGCATTAATCATTCCCAAACTCTATGTGTCAGCTATGCATGTTATCAAGAGGAACTAGCCCCTTGATAAGGGTATCATCATTGGTAATGTAGAGGGTCAGTGAAAAAGAGGAAGATTCCTAATGCAATGAATTGATACCATGGCTGCAACAATGGACTCAAATATAGCAAACGATTGTGTACAAAATATGTTTCAAAGAAATCGATGGTGCAGGACTGGGGAATGTTTCATTCTATTGGAACTGTGGTTGCTATGAATCGAAACTGACTCAATGGCAGCCAGCAATGACAAGCCATGCATAGTTCCTTACCAATAACAATATCAACACATACAATATAATTAACACTATGAACTATGTGTTCATAGTTCATGTTCTAGTGTGCTGCTGTAGGATAATGCATTGGACCCTAAGGTTGCTTTGAACTGCAAGGTCGGCAGTTCAAACTCACCAGCCGCTCCTCAGAAACCCTATACAGGGTTGCTATAAGTTAGAACCAACTCAAAAGCACTTAATAACAGTGAACTATGTACAAAATATGTTAAAAAAAAAATCTATGTACAAGTCAAGGCTGGTGAATGTCCCTAAAATTTTAAACTAGCTAGTTAAAATTTATTATGGTCTCTATTATTACATCTTTTGTCAACAAAGCTATTTGTTTACCTACAGTGATTCATTTGATTACATTATTAACAATCAGAAGTAGTTATGCCCACTTACACTGCCACGGAGTCAATTTCAACTCATAGTGAGCCTGTAAAGGGTTTCCGAAGTAGATAACCTCATCAGGTTGTTGTTAGATGCCATTGAGTCAGTTGTGACTCAAAGCAACCCTGTGAAGGGTTTTTGAGGAATGGCTGGAGGCTGGTAGGTTTAAACCACCAACCTTGTAGGTAACAGTCCAGTGCTTATGCAATAGTATCACACTAGGAATCCAGAAATAGACACATTGTTACTGAGTGCTGTTGAATCAATTCTGACACATAGTGACCTTGTATAGGGTTTCTGAGGAGTGGCTAGTGAGCTTGAACTGCTGACCTTGCGAGTCAAACCGACCTTGCAGTCCAGCACACAAATTCACAGCACCATACCAGGACTCCAGAAATAGACACAGACATATTTAAATAAACAAAATAAAGACTGAGTATCTGACTTCTCAAACATCAGGGATCCTAGTTCACAATCAACAATTTTGTGTTCATAAATGCTATTAATATACCTGTCTTTTTTGAACAAACAAATACTTATTGTTGTTAAGTGGCATGCAGTCAATTCCAATACATAGAATTCATAGTGACCCCATGTGACAGAGCCGAGTGGCCCCATGGGATTTTCTAGACTGTTGTTTACAGGTACAGATATTTCTTCCATGGAACCAAGGTGGGTTTGACCACTGACTTTTCAATGAGCAGCTGAGTGCTTAACTGTTGCATCACCAGGGCATCTTAACAAATGATTGTCATTGTTAAGTGCTGTGAAGTCAGTTCCAACTCAAGAGTGGCTCCTCTGTATAGGGTTTCTGAGGAACAGCTGGTGGGTTTGAAGCACTAACTTTATAGTTAGCAGTCCGGTGCTGATACTACAGCACCACACCAGGAGTCCAACAGATAATTAAATAAGTGTAATTCTGTAGACATTTTCCAGTTCAAATTACAGCTGTACTATGTTGATGTGGCACTGCAGGATAATGCAATGGACCACAAGATCAGCAGTTCAAACACACCAGCCACTCCTGGGACCCTGCACAGGGTTGCTATGAGTAGAAACCGACTCAAAGGCACTTAAATCAACAACAAACGTTATCTATATAAGTCCTGGTGTGGCACTACAGGATAAGCATTGGATTGCTAACCACAAGCAAGATTGGTGGTTCAAAAAAGAAAAAATTAGCACTGGACTGCTAACCACAATATCAGCAGTTCAAACCCACCAGCCGCTCCTTGGAAACCCTATAGAGGGTTGCTGGGAGTTGCTCCTGGCTCGATGGCACTTAACAGCACAACCATTATCTATACAGGGTGCTGGTGGTATAGTGGGTTCCTGATCGTCTTGGACTGCTAATCAACAGTTCAAATCCACCCACTGTTCTGTAGGAGACACAGGCCTTTCATTCCTATAAAGATTTACAGCCTCAGAAATCCTGCACAGGTACAGGGTCACTATGAATCGGACCAGACTGGACAACACACAACAACAACATGCTTTTATATACACACACCTGTTAGGTAAAAGCTGAATAAAATGTAAAAAAAAAAAAAAAAAAAAAAATCTGCTAGCAAAGACTCTCACTGCTAATTCAAATTGTCTCAAATACACATTTCATCATGCTATAGTGAAGAAGAAAAACCACGTTTATAAGTGAACTTTTGTCAGTGGGGTGGTTTTCATCCAAGATCAGACACAGGATAAATTCTTAAGCAACAATTTTATGCTGTTGCTGTTACGTGTCTTCGAGTCAGTTCCAACTCATGGTGACTATGCACAACACAATGACACACTGCCTAGTCCTATGCCATCCTCACAATTGTTGCTACATTTCAGCCCACTGAGGATAGTGATTTAAAGTTCTCTGTGCAGTATTAAGTATCATATTATGGTATAATAAATGTAGATTGCTAGACTTTAACCCTAGAGATGCTCTTATCTGGGGATTTTTCAAATGTCATTAAGCCATTTCATTATATAGCTTTACATTGTAAAGTTTTGTTGTTGTTGTTGTTGTTTTTAAAAGTAATGATTTCAAAACAAAAAAAGAAAAATGGAGAGCTTCTCAATTCAAGGAAGAAGCAGCACCCCGCCCCCACCCCAGCCAGTCCACTCCCCTTGTTTGAGGGGGTCCAGAGTGAATTTTAATAACAACTCAAGTGGTTCTGTAGGTCTATTTCCCATGCTTGTTAATTTTACTATTTTTGAGGCTCTTAAGATCCTGCCATCATGGCCTGATGATGACTACCGCAGACTCACACATCATTTAATTTCCGTCTCAAGCCAAGTATGTGATTGTTCAAAGGCTTAATTTGTAATAATCACATGATATGAATGCTTTAATAAATTCTTCTTCCTGGATCTCAACAATCTCATATAATATCTGTACTCAGATGAGGTAAAGAAAAGGCTTACTACATAAAGTCCTTTGAGAGTCAGGTTTCTAGTATTTTGTTATAAACTTTTTGGCAATAATGCAACAGTTTCTCCACACAGGGCACAAAGCATCAGGCTGCTGCAAAGATGAGAAATTCTGGAAAGGGTGACATACCCACTGGAACCATGTCCTGGTACTGTGGTCTACTAACTGTGTTGAAAGTACTGGAAGGCCTGGGAAGAACCGGTGGTCCTGCATGGCGGGAATCTTCTCCTACCTGCAAATACAGGCACCATTAATGCTCTGCACCAAGAGCTAGAATGCTTTCTATTGTCACCTCCAATCAAAATACTTCACAATGAGCGTGGTAAAGTACCAACTGATCAGAAGAGCTGCCAGTTCAGGAGCTGAAATGAAGTTCCCTTGAGTCCTGCTTTAGTTGTTGAATCAGGGCAAGGAACAGGGAAAGCTGCATCCTTGACAGGGGCCAGGATTGTGATGATTTACCAGGTGGTACAGAAATAGTTGAGTATGTTTGCAATTACTAGGGCTATAGCAGCTACATAGCAGACCTGTTTATCAGGAATAACTTCTACTTTGACAGAATACGAATCTGCAATAATATCATCAAAGGGGAAAATTAGGGAGGGGTACAAAATGTATGAGGGCAATGCCTAGATAGTGCTTCTCATGGCTATAGCAGGCCAGGGAATTTGCTACGTCAGCAGAGGCGGTGTGGAAGGCCAGCAGTCTGTGTGGGTTTCTTCGTTAGTGCATTGTGTCCTTAGAAGCAATTTATATGCCTATTAGAACACCCAGCACAACAGCTCTTTCTGGTTTGAACCTCCCACATCAGGGAGCTAATAGTAGCAGGTGGAGGAGTTAACATAAATAAACCTGAAGTATTTATTGTCTCTATCTACATTTAGAAACGCATACATACAAACAGATAGGCAGAAATATCCACTAATAGTCTTACCAGAAAAGTCTTACATTCACTTCTGTTTTAGCTTTTCTCTCTCACGTATTACAGAAATCTTCTCACACAGTAGAACAGTGATGTAAAAATAGCAAGAGAATAAAAGGCAAAATAACTCTCAAAATGGAGCTCCTCCTCCTCCTCACCGGAACCGTCACAACCATTTTATCACAGTGCATCATTTAGGTGTTTGGTGAGTGCGTTTCTAAAGGTCTAAAAACTGGAAATATTCTCATTCTCTATCACTTGTTTGGCTCATTATCTACCACTTTTTTGGAGTCCTGGTGTGGTGCTGTAGGATAAGTACTGGACTACTAACCACAAGGTCGGCAGTTCAAACCCACCAGTTGCTCCTCAGAAACTCTACACAGGGTCATCATGAGTCGGAACCAACTCAACAGCACTTAACAACAAAAGAACAAAATCATTTACTTATCTTTCATGAATGTTCTCACTCATTATTCAAGGCTTAGTTCAAACAGTACCTCAAGCTGAAGTGAAATGTAACCTTCTCTGAGCTCCAACAGCATCGGTGTACATTTTTAAAGCCACTGTTATTATTACAGCTTATAAAGCATTTTTTTCATTCATATTTCTATTCATATGAATTACAGTTATTTCCATATTTTTTCTAATACAGTGCAGAATGGAGTCCTAGTGTGGCCCTGCAGGATAAGCAGTGAACTTCTAACCTCAAGGTTGGCAGTTCAAACCCACCAACCACTCCTTGGAAACCCTATACAGGGTTCCTATAAGTCAGAAATGACTTGGCAGCACTTACCAACAACAGAGTGCAGAAGCATGTAGTACTTATTTGTATCTCTTAGAACTCCAAGCATGTCAGCACTGTGAGCTTTTAAGGGGAATCTGGCACGGCTCTTGGAAACATCAACACTCTGCCTTGGTACTCACTCTTAACTGAGGGTCGCCCACTGTCTGACAGTCTGATTTGAAGAAAGGATGTCTCAGGAGAAGACCTTCAGTTTAGTGTGAGTACCAAGGCAGAGTGTTGATGGAAAACAATGTAATGAGGGCAACCACTTTCTGGGGAGATACAATCATTAACTATACATTGTTTTCCAGTCAGAGGACTTATCATGCCGATACACTAATATATCTTTTCCTCTGTGGGCATATTGTGAAGTGTCATCACTTCCCAGAACAATTGAAGGTCTTATCCTGAGACATCACTTCTTCAAATCAGACTGTCAGACAGTGGGCGACCCTCAGTTAAGGGTGACTACCAAGGCAGAGTGTTGATGTTTCCAAGAGCCATGTCAGATTCCCCTTAAAAGCTCACAGTGCTGAAGACCGACTTTTCATTGGGTTATCTCTGTCTCATTGATCTTTTTCCATTAATGTGAGGTAGCATCCTTATTCAAATTTTAATGTTTATCTTAGGGTCCCCCTTCTACAACAGACTACTACTAGATCATGAAAATAACTCGTTTTGAGGGAGAGGGGTTGAAAAAAATGCCAGCATAGCTATTGGTCTCACTCATGTTTTCTGAGAAAAACAGTCTTAACAGCTTCACATTGTGAAGTCAAGATAAGACACGTAGTTAAAGTGCACTGGCCATGTGATAAAACCAGGCAGGGCTCTAAGTGTGCTGCGTGTAGCACATCAGGTCCAAAGGTAAGAGGTCTGTTCTGCTTTTAAGATGAATACTACTGCTGCCATCCAGTTCACACGAATAGTTTATATGACAGCAACGTAAAGATTTACTAGCTACTCATAAAACATAGATTTTTTTGCATACCTCATCCAGCAATAGATTTATATATATGTATATCATTTTTATATGAGTTTTTTGTGTATACTCTTATGTGCACTTGACAACCGGCAAACACAAAAGATGCATTGGAATAGGTATGTAAATCATGAGGGGAAATTCCAAGAGTGGAATTTTGATGAACCAAGCCCAGTTATTTATTGCACTCATAATTTATTTTCTTATAATACGGGCTACAAAAATATTTGACTCACAATATAACACTGAGCACATGCTATGCACAGACACTGAAAAGGCATGCATAAAAAGAATTTTAATTCTATTTATCTAAGGGAATTTCTAATAAAAATGTACATCAAGTGATGATATACATTTAAAGCATAAGCCCATATTAAGGAGAAAAAAATGTGACCTAAGACATTCCTTTTATTTATTTCTGCTGCTAAGCAAAAAAGTGAAACAGGAAGAGAATTTTTCGTTGGTAGACTATATATTAGAGCGCCCTCATGTGCTTATCACAAGCTACTGCACACTGGCAAAGTAAAGCAGACTAGTTTTTAGTACTTAATTCAGCCCATTTTCTCCAGCACTTAGAATACATAAAAATCTGCTCTATTGGAGGCATCCTAATTTTAAAGACTACTAGTAAAGGTTCCACAATCCCATATCCTTGCCCAAAGATTTCCATATAATTCAACAACTTCACTTAGAAAACTCTTGCCATTTGTTAACCTTATTTTGATTCACTATAAATTTCACACATTCTTCTGTATGAAGCTTATCATCACTCTCTTGAACAATTTATCGTATTTTTATTTCTCTTCCTCTATGATAAAAAAAATCTCAAATTTCCTCAATCATTCCTCACACATCCTGTTTTGAAGTTTTCCAGTTAGGTTGTATATAGTTCTGAAAACAGCATGCTAACATTCCAAAGCTTTCCAGCCTTCCAATGGTAATCTCTAAATCAAACTAGGGCAAATCAAGACAATCACAAAAGAAAAGCCAACCCAATCCCACAAACCATCGTATCCCCCCCACCCATCCACAAAGCTTCCCATCAACATTGTTTCTATCAGCTAACAGGGCAGTCCCTAGGATGTGACTCACCTCACCCGCACTGTGACTTCGTTGCCTGGACAAGTGCTGCCGATGAACCAATGCGCTTGTGGGTCGACTGCTCTGAAGAGGGAGCCGAGGATCGATGAAAGTGGTGGCACGGGAATTGTGGTCTACAAAAAATGCCTAGGAAACAATTCACATGGTCAGCAGTCAATGCATAGCAACCACATTTATGTTGATGTCTTAGTGACCTATTACACCACACATGCAAGAAAAATCCACTTTGAGTAAAGATCTTAGCTTTACTTTATCCTAATCTTAAATATCTGTACATTTCTATTTATCCTCTTAGGCTAGGTCAGAATAGAGACGGTCATGCTAAAATGTAATCCACTGAGGAAAAGAGTAGGAAGAACACTGTTTCTGGCTATAGGCACTATTCTAAGAGATAGCCATCAAAGTCGCGATCTCATAAGGAAACTGTAAAGATAAATACGTGGGCTTCTCTTAACTGATGCTCTTTTAGTGCCTACTTCCACTCATGGTCATAACAAAAGTTCTTCCCCTGAAAATGTCAAATTTCTCTTTAAATTCTCCTGTGCTGTCAGTCACCAAGTCCTCCCCACTTCCCAGCTGTGGTGTCTGTCTCCATCACCCTCCAGACTGAGCACTGTTACTTCAGGGCTGTCTTGTGTGCATATAAAGGCTAGTAGTTTCTCAATTGGTCCCACTTTTCTAGCATCTTTATTAATTTAACTGACACCTCACTATAAGAAAGGGGCCTTAGTGTTGCAGTGGTTAAGCGCTTCGCTGCTCATCAAAGTGTCAGTGGTTCAACCCCCCCCCCCCCCTGCGGCTACTCCATGGGAGAAAGATGTGGCAGTCTGCTTCTGTAAATATTTACAGCCTTCAAAGTCCTATGCTGTTGTTTAGAAGTGCCAGTGAGTCGCTTCCAACACATAGGGTCTCTGAGGCGTGGCTGGTGGGTTTGAATTGCTCACCTTGTGGTTATCCTGCAGCACCACACCTATGGGGCAGTTCTAGTCGGTTCTACAGGGTTACTATGAGTTGAAATAAGTTCAGTGGGAGTGGGTTGTGTTTGACTATGAGGATATTCTTTCTAAATACTTGGATTTCAAGACCACACCAATCCAAAGCCTCTACCATTATCGATAAAGCTACCCAGCATCTCCAGAAAAAGCACCCTAATTCTTTGGGTAGTTTTGCAAACTGCTTTAAAAATTATTTTCCTACTTGCCTTTCCAGTTCAATCACCTACTGCACACTGATACAAGCTTTATCACTTACTGACTGACTAGAACTTAAAGTCACTTTAAGTTCTCTGAGCTATAGATTTCTTATAAAGACATTCCTCCCGGTTTTCATTATTTCTGTCTCATAACATACTAAAAACCTACTGTCATCGAGTTGATTCCAACAGGTAGAAACCATGTCTACCTTGTTCACTGCAAAATCCCAGTGACATGAAATCATGAATGATCATTAACCATTTACCTTGCTGTTGCGGTGAAGATCAAGTACAATGCATATGGACACTTCTTGTTTGTTTCATTCTAAAGCTTTACAAGTTGTTGTTGGTGTTAAGTGCCGTTGAGTTGGTTCCTACTCATAGCAACCCTGTTTAAGGTTTCAGAGGAGTGGCTGGTGAGCTTGAACCACCTACCTTGTGGTTCAAACTGACCTTGCAGTCCAGTGCATTCACTGCAGCGTGAAACCAGGACTCCAGCTTTTCTATAAGACCCATTTAAATTCAACAAAATTTTTTTGTCATTTAAGTTAAAAGATTTAAACACTAATAAGATCCCTGGAACACAGCAAATTTTATCAATGGAATTTCAAAACATTAACATTTTTATTTATTTACTTTTCTTGATGTTGGAGAAATAACATATTGTTAAATGATTACCACACCTGTCTCTACATAAGTGCTATTTATCATTATTGTTGTTGTTGATAAGTGTTGTCAAGTTGGTTCCAACTCATAGCAACCCTGTATAGGTTTTCCAAGGAGTGACAGGTGGGTTTGAACTGCCGACCTTGCGATTAGCAGTTCAGTGCTGATCCTACAGCACCACACCGGGACTGAGGCAAATGGCCTAAGTGTTTAACATAAAATTCATTCAAGGTAATAATGAAACCTATTAGCTCAAGGAATATTTTAAGATATGGGCTTTTCTGATCAGATAATGTTAATTCATTTACTGAAGATAAAAGGGACTATTCAGAGCCAAAAGAATCATTAATTAAATCTAGGTGTTAAGTAACTGACTTTTCAAACTGAAAGAGTCTAGTTAACAATGTCCCTTAGAGACGAGGGAATGAGTACTATAGACTTTAGAAAGTTTGTGGAAAAAAAAACAGAATTAAAAGACAACACAATTTTCCCACAAATTTTTGAAGTCCCTTGTACAGCTAGGCAAATCCCAAGGGCAAATAGCATATTTATGCCTGTGCGCACACACAAAAAGTCATTTTTTCATTATTAAACACAATGTAAATAACTAGTTGTTGTGTTGTGAAGTGCCATTGAGTCAGTTCCGACCCATAGAGACCCTGTATAGGGTTTCCAAGGAGCAGCTGGTGAACTTTAACCGCTGACCTTGCAGTTCAAATGGCTTTGAAGTCTGGAGCATTAACTTACAACGCCACACCAGGACTCCAAATAACTCCAAACAGGGTGACCTATGGCTTGATCTTAGGATTAATTTTTTTTTTTAAAAAGGAGATGTCTTTTCTTCTTTTTTTTTCCTGATCTTCAAGCTACCTACAATTTATTTCACCCCAAACAACTAGTAAATGGGATAAAATCAAGCACAAGAAAACAAAACAAAGAAATGGACTGAATAAGAATCCTTTCCTGTCCTCTCTTTTAATATCTGATCAACCAGGTACAAAGACAAGATTAAGTGGAGGTCTCAGTGAGGTGGTTTCAGCCTTATGTCCCCAGGTAATGTTCCCTCCTCCCTAACCTATCAGGTGAAACCTTTTTCTTATCACCTCTTGTAAAAAGCTTAACCACAATAGCCTCTATGCAGAGGGGTGCTGACAGCCCCAAATGTCATCACACAAATCCCCATTTTCTTTAGGCTTCAAATACACCTGAACATAATTTCTGCTACCAGAGCATCTTTTTTGCTTCTGCAAAATGTAATAAAATAGGCAGTGAATTAAATATTTATATAAATAGACATGGTCGATACCTGCTTTAAAATGAAAGGTGCTAAATCTTATTTAGGTAAATTAAGCTTTACTAACAAGCAAGTTCAGTGGTTCAAGCTCACCAGCTGCTGCTTGGAAACCCTATAGGGTTGCTATGGGTCGGAATCGACTCAACAGCACTTAACAACAACAACAAGCTTTTATTACTAAAACAATAATGTGAGTCAAGTTTAAGGCCTAAAAAATACCCAGAGTGCTAAACTAGAACTGGCATATTTACTTAATTCCTAAGGACTGTCTTGAAGGGAAGGATGACCATTCAGAGGCAGCAATGATGCCTTTGTAATTATAAAGACAAATGGGCGTGTCCATTTAGGTCAACTGCGATTTACATGTAGTGTCTTAGTATAATCCCTCCTGTAAAGAATTATACTATAAATCCCTTGAGGCTAAGGGCTTGCTCTTACTCTCTCTGTTATCCTTGACAGCTTTTAGGGCAGTGTCTGGTAGAAAGTGGAGGCTAGGAAGTAATGAATTATCAATAATTCTAATATGTACTCTCCTGACCAAAACACAAAGAGACAACTCTAGTTAACTGCTGTTATTGTTGTTAGTGCCATTGAGTTGGTTTCGATTCATAGCCCTATATCGGGTTTCCAAGGAGCGAATGGTGAGTTTGAACCTCCGACCTTGCGGTCTAGTGCATTAGTCCACAGCAGCACACTAAGACTCCAACCAAGTATTAAAATACCATGCTCTTTTACTCAGTAGAGAAATACTTGAGGATTTGGGGAAAAAAAGTAAATGAAAGCTCTGTGTGTATACTGGGTCAAAGAGAATGAGGAACTAAAAACTATAAAACCACAAATAGGATAGAAGGTTTTAAAAACCCCATTGTAGATAAGAATAAACTCCCAAGATAAAATTTTTGGAATGAGAGACAGAGTAAAGCAGCCATGGAATGGTTGGGATCAGGGAAAAGACAAGTTAGGTTCAGAGCCCTAGCTCCACCACTTCTTAACAATATAGCCTTGGGCAAACGCCTTAAACTTTACAAACCTGTCTTTTCTGTTCAAATGGAGATAACGTCTACATTAAAAGATTAAATGAAGTGGTAAAAACTTCTGAACACAGTGTTTTGTTGTTGTTGTTAGGTGTCATCAAATCGGTACCGACTCATAGCGACCTTATGTACAACAGAACTAAATACTGTCCGGTTCTGGGCCAACCTCACAATTGTTGCCACGCTGGAGCCCATTGATGATGCCACTTTGCCAATCCATCTCGTTAGGGGTCTTCCTCTTTTTCTCTGACCCCCCACCTTACCAAACATGATATCCCTTTCCAGAGATTGGTCCCTCCTGACAATACGTCCAAAGTATGAGAGAGAAAGTCTGGCCATCCTGGCCTCCAAGGAGCACTCTAGCTGTACTTTTTCCAAAACAGATCTGTTTGTTCTTTTGGCAGCCCATGGTACTTTCAATATTCTCTTCCAACACCGTAACTGAAATGCATCAATTCTTCTATGACCCCTAAAATACGAGTTATTACCAATAATAACGTTTCAATTTTTAAGACATTTTTTTGAAGAATCACAGTTTCTTTTCATCATTGAACATGTGTGTTTTAGCTTTTTATTTTTCTTTGTCCTTTTTCCCTTTTTAAAAATCTTTTCATTGTGAACTGAGTGAAGGTTTATGGAGCAGATCATCAGTTTTATATTCGACAAATCATATCTTGTTTTCATTTCAATGACTGCAATCCATGTAACATCAGTTATCCCATTTCTCCGATTCATGTCTCCATTGCTTCTTCTTGCCGGATCCTTCTACATTTTGTTCTCATGTAAATGCTGTCCTTTTGCTCTCACATGATTGACCATTTTGCCATGCTTATACCTCACTAGTGCTGTTGTTCCCATCCCATAGCTATATACTGCTGGGCTGATAAATGAGCCACAGGGATGAATTCAGTTCCAGACCTGAAGGGTGTTCTAGGGCCAT